TATAGACCGAGGTTCGGACCCCAAAAGGGAAGAGGACCTGAATGAGATACGTGGATTTTGAACAAGGACGAGTTGCCAAAGTATCATTTTCTTGAGCGGGGGCTGAGGGTCAGAAGGCAGGACGGTGGGGTGGAGATCTGGCGTCTGTTCACTGGAAACCTTGACTTTATCTGTTACACTGAGCCCAAAGGGCAAGGAGAAAAATGTACTGATGTACAACAGTGAATACAGTTGGCTTTTTTTTTTTTAAAAGAAAAGTCACTTTGATAAATGATTTGTGTTGCCAAAATCACATTGCTTAGAATGTTTTTTTCTTTTTAAGCTTTTCATAGTATGTCTTGTTTCCTGTGTCGTTTTAAAAATCATTTTTCTTTTTCTCGTCTATTTTTCCCTTGTTGAGTCTCATATATACATCCATTTATTTAGAGCTTTTGTGGTGATTATGATATTTGGGGTTTTGCTTGTTTATCCAAGTAGTGTTCCTATTTATATCCTCTGTGCCCGGTACTTAAGTTACATGGATGAACGATGACTGAATTGTGGGAGAGGTATGCGAGGGAAAAGTCTGGTAGGTCCAGTTCCTAAAAGAGACCTGGGCTCTGAGGGCGCAGAGAGGAGCAGGGTTTGTATGATCTGGAATCTGTGTGTGGCCCTATCAATGTGGGTGTGCTGCTCCCAGAGCAGGGAGATTCTGGAACACTGTGGTTCAAAGGGGCCTGGGATTCCATTCAGCTGAGCCTCTGAAACCTCGTAACAGGTATAGCATGAGGCAGGGGACGGCAGCACCCTATTTCAGAAGGAGTCAAATGGATCTGGATTTGAATCCTTGTCCTAAGACTGACTAGCTGTGTGACTTTAGCATAACCCCTCCTGCCTCAGTTTCCTCTTCAGTAAGTTAGGGATGATAATGATAGTACCTACCTCACAGGGTTGTTGTGAGGATTAATTGAGTGAATACATATAGAAGGGTACCTGGCACATAATAAGTGTTGAGTAAGTGTCAACTATTATTATTATTGACAATAATAGACCGTCAAATCCCTAGAGTAGTGCTTGGCCGCTAGCGTATCTTGCAACATGTTTGTTCCCCAAAGTATGAGTTTTCTTGTCGATTTAGGGCTGAGAATAACTAACCGCCTCTGAAAGGGTTCCCCCTCCTGGGATGCTGTCTCATCACCTTGTGATTGGTGGTGCCTGAGCTGTTACCTACCAAACAGAAGGGCTTCCTCAGAGTAGTTTCCAGAGAATCCTGTGAGCTTTTCATTCACCAGTGTGTTTTCTATTAGAAACAGAACAGTAACCACAGCAGGTAACCTGCACGTTAAGTCCAGCCCTGCCACAGACAGCCTGCATTTTTAAAGAGAACAAACACGTTTTTTCCAGATGTTCATTTAAAAAACATTCAACAGAGCATTAGCATTATAATTTCTTATAGAAAGGAGAACGGCTTTCACGTTTACTCTGTGGCTCTTTCCAGGTGGTAACCACATGAGTCTTGACTATGAGCATTGACACTCACCAAGTGACTTTCTTGCCTTCTTTTCCTGAAGGTGCATAATTTGGGCCCTGTTAACCTTCTCTTAGGAGCCTTGTTTCTCAGGTCTTTATTTTTGGACATTCTCCTCTGGATTCTCTGCTTTGTTTCTTTAACCTTTGCCAAAGATGGAGAAATACATGTGTGGCAAACAGTTTAAGCACAGAAACAGAATGGAGCCAAGTCCTGTGTTCTCTGCTCATTGGCTCTTGAAAGCAGCGAGTTGTCCGTGTGTGGTCTGCAGGGCCTCCCATCTTCCTGTTCTCCTTGTGCCTATCCTTGACTTGTATTTTCTTTTTGCTTTTAACAGCTTTATTGAGTTTTAGTTAACATACCATGTCCCTGAGTTTTTTCCTGGAGTCTGACCTTGATTCTTATTTAAACTACTATAGTGGGGTAGAAAGAGTTTTGGATTTGAAGCCAGAAGGGAAGAGGAAAAGGAAATCACATTTATTGAGTGTTTGCACTTCACCATTCAATTCATCAGATCTTTCTTTAGCTCCTACTATGAGCCAGGCATTGTGAAGGGCACTACAGGGTAGTGGTTCCAGGACATGGGAGCTGGAATTTCAGCTCTACTGGTTAAGTGGAACTCACTGGTAAGTGGGACCTTAACATCTTCTTATTTAACATCTCCTGTGCCTCAGGATCCCCATCTGTCAAGTTAGAATGCTAATAGTGTCCACCAATAGGAGTGATGTGAGGATGAAATGAATTAATAATATAGAGCGAGATGATGATGGTGATGATGATGACAATGACAATAACGATGATGGAGAGGGGTTGGGATCAGGACTCAACCAGACAGACACTCACTGCTCTCATGTTGCTCACAGTCGTGTATGTGTGTGTATGAGTGTGAGTGTAGGGTAGAGGTGCTGAGGGATGGACTTGGAATGTGAGACAGGTATAAAGAATTAAGTAGAGTAAAGCACAGTGAGTATTACTACAGGGCAGCGGAGAGTATTGTGGAAGTGCACAGCAGGGAGCCCCAGCCTCGTCTCAGGTCAGAGAAGCATACTAGAGAGAGTGATGTTCGAGTGAAATTGAAAGGAGGAATAAAAGTTAGCTCGGCGAGGGGCAGTAAGGGGAGGTTATGTTCTGTGTTCTGGGCAAGAAGAAACAGTATACGTGAAAGTCTGAAGAGAAAAGCAGTCCTGTGGTATTTAAGGAACTGAGGAGATCCAGTGAGTCCAGAGCATGGGATGTGAGGAGAGTGGTGAGACATGGAACTAGCAATGAAGTCAGAAATCAGACCATGGAAAACTTGTGAGTCACGTTGAGGAATTCGAATGACTAAGAGCCAGGTATTATCCTTGGGGTTTCCATTAATTCCTTCAAGCATCACAACTCTGTGATATAGGTGTTATTAGACCCATTTTGTTTAGGCTCTGAAAAATTGTCACTTACCCAAAGGCACAGACTTAGAAGATAGTAGAGTCAGGATTTGAACCTAGGTCTCTCTAGCTCCAAAGCTAGAGTTCTATTGATGATACTGTATGCCTTCTGAACTTGAAGTCTGGCTGTTAGCTTTATGACTTTGGACTACCCTCAGTTTACTTACCTGTAAAATAGGTAGCATATTAATAAATACCAGCTCATAGACTTGTAAAAACAAATGGGAATATACATAAAGTGCCCAGTATAGTGTCTGGCATATAGCAAGTTCAATGACTGCTTATGGACCCAGATTCTTGACAGAGAAATGTTTTCCCTTCACGGTCCCATGAACTGAGACAGAACCCCATGAGCTGCCACCTGCTTGTTGGCTTGGTTGTCAGTCATCTTTCCAAGGACCACTTGAAATCCTCCTAGAAATCACCTTTGCATCACCTTCGTAGAAGGGAATCTACTCCCTGAGCTACTTGCCGGGTCTCAGTGCAGAGGGCTCTCCTTCTGGCCTGTAGCCCTGCAGTCACTTGAGCTTCAGTTCACTGGTAGGGGTGACCCCGAGGCTTCTCTGCTTCTCCCAAGCATCCTTCCCTTCATGGAGTCCCTGAGCATCCTTTTCCTCTTCCTCTGGAGTCCACTGGGCTTGTTTTGCCTACACCTTATGAAATGAATTCCTTTGCTGGTTTGAATTGTATTTAACTTTATTGGTCTCAAGGGCAGAGACTGTCTCAACTGTGTACTTCCTACAGTGATTAGCACAGTACTATATTAGGGACTCAATAGATTACCAATTGTTTTCACCAGGGTAGGGCTTTATGGATACCAAGGCTCTCTTGTATAGTTTTTTTTTGGTAAGGAATATTGGCTCTGAGCTAACATCCGTGCCAATCTTCTTCTATTTATTTGTATGTGGGTCACCGCCACAGTGTGGCTTGATGAGTGGTGTAGGTCTGCGCCCAAAATCTGAACCCACGAACCTCAGGATACCGAAGTGGAGTACACGAACTTAACCACTATGCCATCCAGCCAGCCCCAAGATTTTTTTTTTAAATCTTCACAAGAGTCCTCTGAAGTAAATGAACATGTAGTATTCTTTTTAGCACAAGTTGGAGAAACTAAGGCCTACACTTAAGCAATATGTCCGTTAATTCTTTAATTCTGTAGAGATTTACTAGGTGTAAATCTGTCTCATGGGCTAGGAGAAGAGAGCTGAAAGAGGTAATCCCTTCCTTCAAGGATGAGGCAGACATTGGAACAAATAATTATACACAGCAAGTGAAGTTTTAGGACAAAGAAATGATGAAAGTATTTAACTTTATTTAAAAATAGGGAAGATCAGCGAAAAATTCAGAGAGAAAGAAATGGTTGCATTGAACCTTCAAGGATTGACTTCATGCCGCAGATAGGGTGGGAGGGAGGGCATCCCAGGCAGAGGATATACCACAGCTCATAGGCGTGAGAAGACAGGCACTCTGGGAGGCTCTGCAGCATCAGCTTGGCTGACAGGAGGTCCATAGGAACGGGCTGCTGGTAGAAGGAAAAGATGGCGATAACTCCCACTGGTAAGACCCCAAGGTCCCCAGGGCCTTCAGGAGACTGAGAGGGCCCTTCCCAGTCATGCAGTCTCCCAGTCCCTAGGCCTCCTTCCTAGAGGCATACACAGTCATTACGTAATCTGCTTTAAACTTTGGAAGGGCTCCCTTTTGTCTCTGCTTCCCTGCCCTTCCAGCTTGTCTGCACATAGATTGTAATCTCCTGTCCATGCTAAAAGAACACAGATCTTATCACAGGAGCGACCTGTGACCTGACTACTTGGAAGAATAAAGGTTACCAGGTGAAAGGACATCTCTGTCATTTACTCTCTGTGGCGTGACGTAACTGAGAAGGCATAAAGTCTGTCTTCGACCAAACACCTGTGTTCCTCTTTCACGGGCAGGGTCACCAGAGGGGAGCATTAAATTGCTCTTCAAATGAGTCAGACCCGTTGTTCCCAGGAGACGGGGCTGGTGCAGCGTGAGCTCCGTGGGCAAGTCTGACCAGGCCCCTCTCACACTTGCCTGTGTTTGCCTTGCAGCTGTGTAAATGAGTATGGAAGATTATGATTTCCTGTTTAAAATTGTTTTAATTGGCAATGCTGGTGTGGGGAAGACGTGCCTAGTCCGACGATTCACTCAGGTAAGAGAACTCACAAGGCCAGGGTTGGGTTTCTCAGTCTGGCCTGCGGGGTTAGGGGAACCTAATAGGGAGGGTGAGGGGTCCCAGTGCTAGGCTCTTGGCTGCTAGTTCTTAACATGCCCTTTGAAAGTGCTCCAGCTTTGCAGCCTAGACTAGACTTTTTTAAACCTTCTCGAGGGAGTATGGCTGTGTGGATCACCCCCCCACCATTCTTCTTGTTGCTTCCTTTAATGAAAAGGGCAAGTAGTTTTGCTTTCAGTGTGTAGTATCAAAAATACATTATTAGGTAAGAAATAGATTATTAGTTAATAGGAATCCAAAGGTAGAAACCAATGAATCTGGACATCAAATTATACCTATTAATTTTTTTAAAACTCAAATACAAATTAAACCAGTCGAACTCCCTGTGTATGCCTTCTCCTGTCCTCCCAGAAAACGGAATGAATCATTTTCGTTTAGAACCACATGTGCTGATTTTTCTAGATCTGTTAAATGGGAATGAAATTTGCATGATCTAAGAACAATTTCTCTTTGGAGCTACCCTTTTGAGAATTATTGCCAGCGATTATATACCTGTTTTTATATAGAAATGAGTAGGAAATCATTCTGAAATTGACTTTTCTTTTGTGTTTTCCTGGAAGAATATGAATGGCATCCTTTTCAGGATTATCATGCATTTTCATAAGGTGCCAGTTGGGAAAGTTGAGAGTAGCTCCTCTCTCTAAGGCGCAGGGCAACCTGGTGCCATGGAAAGAACACTGGCCCGAGAGCCGAGACACAGGTCCTAGTCCTGGCTCTGCCCGAGGCTGATCATGTGATGAGGGAGGGGCTCCCTGCCTCTCTGCTGCACATGAGGGGCCTGGTGATCTCCAAGGCCCCTTCGAGCTCTGCCAGTCTGTGGTTCTGTGGAAAACGGGAGAGGCAGATTGGATAACACAAACAGCTTCAGGGCATGGGCACCTTTGGAAATGCCAAGGTTTTTCCCGTGATAATGAGCACGTGCTTTTTACTAAGCCTTGGCCTGGTTGAAATCAAAAGTAGCAAGCTAACAGGCATCTGGGCTCAGTCAACCACCATGGCGTTATGTTGGAAACTCCAACTGGTTTTACTTCCACTTTACGTTAGTCATCTTTTCTGCTTTTGGCAGGAGGACAAGACTGCAGAGATGTAGAGAAGTTTTCAGTCCCTGTGTCAAAAGTTGCCCTTGACCTTGTCTTATTACTGAAAGATCCCTTAGAGCTTATTCTGCCCACTACTCTCCTTTCACACATGAAAAACTCAGATGTGAGGGATGAAATGACTTGTTAGCCTTTTGTGTCATGTTAGTGGCAAGGCTAGCATTAGAACCTAGGTCTCCTGGTTTTCAGCCTGATCATTTTTATCTTCTGCATGTTCTAAGCTCTGAGACCATAGAAATCTGGCTTTTCTCTTTTAAAACAAACCTTGTTATTAGAGGTAAAAGTGCTTGTTTTTGAACACTGATTTTTACCAATAAGCACACCACCTCTTATTGTTCTCTTTTATCTACTTTTTACCCCTCCCAGTCCCTCAACTGCCCCCAAAGTTCATATTTCATAGACAGGATTATGTTTGTTTGTTATTTAATAGACAGTTAAAATGAATTGGATTCAGCTGTTCTTGAGGCCTAAGGAGTTGGGGAACAAAATGATGGGGGAGACATTGGGGAGGATTTGTTTTATTTTTTGGCATTTGTTAGACTGAGAAACAGCTGGAGCTATAAACTTCAAGCTTGGCAGCCTTGTGTTTGAGCCAAACCAAAATAGAAGAAAATTGATTCAATATTTGTAAGTAAAGTTATGAATGTTTATATTTACATCTTTTGCAGACGTGCACTGGAACATTTTTATTGGTTTGAAGCTCAGTCTTTTAAGTTCAAATTTTAATTAAAGAACTCTCTTGCTAGGGAATGGACTTAATTAAAGATGCCCCAGTCTTAGCTGCTAGAGCTAATAGAGTCTCTTTTACTTTAATTTCTGGAAATTCTGGAATATAAGTGAAGTGGAAAGAGAAACGAGGTGAGGAGTTCGTTCTTGATAGAACTACTACCTCCAATTCCCTCCCTAAGCTTACAGGAAATATTATGTAACAGTAAATTACATTATACATGTAATTTTGCTAAAATCTTATCTTTCTAGTTCAGCTTTCGGTTTGAGGTAAAGCTGGGTTTTTGTTTTGAAATGCGTCAGCCTCAAATTTATTGAATTTGAGCCCAGAGAGGGGAACTGGTTTGCCTGAGATCACACAGAGATCCTAAGGCTACTGCCTCCTGATTTAGCACTATTTCTACTATATTTTCTCCCTGAGTGATTTTATTTTCCTTGATTATTTTCCCAGTGTCATTGACCCTGATCTCATGAAATTATGTATGTTTGGTACCATTGCACTGAGGAAAATAGTTGTCACCCTCAGGGCAGAGGGAAATTCAAAAGCTTCGCTGTCTCATTCATACTTCTCGTACTGAGTGCTTATTTGTTTTTTCATATTGGCTGTCCACCCCGTGGCTGTCTATGCCCTAGCCTGATAACCAGTTTTAATCTTCCTTGATTTTGCCTCTTTTACAGCGCCTGTCTGTTTTGCCCTCGTTCTCACAGTCTTGATCTCATCCCTGTGGCTTTGTGCTCCTCGGTTGTATCCTTGTGTCTGATTTTTCTGTTTCATTCTTTGACATCAGATCCCCCTGCCCCTTCCCAGTTCTCTCCCTTCAGCTTCTCTGTCCTTCTCCCCCTTTCCCTTTCTTTCTTCTTCTTTCAAGCATTTCTCCCTCCCCTTCCTCGCTTCTCTCTCCTCCCCTCAAAACATACGTGCAAAGTTAAGTTAAACAGGGCTCCTAGGACACTAAACAGAGTTCTCTTTTCTCCTAGTTAACTCAGCCAAAAGAAGGGGCTGGCAATGGGTACTGATGGGAGACAGGGAGGAGAATGTCATTTAATTGAAAGATTGGCTTAATTGTTATTTTCCATTATTTCTTCCGTAGGGTCTTTTCCCCCCAGGTCAAGGAGCCACAATTGGAGTTGATTTTATGATTAAGACAGTGGAGATTAATGGTGAAAAAGTGAAGGTAAGATGCAAAGTGTTCAGTAAGGCTCTCATTGTGCTGTGTGAGAAGAAGTAGTATTTTCCTAACATTTATTTAATCTCCTCATTGAAACCCTTATTGAAAATGATATACTCGGCCCTGGCAGTTTATTTCCAAACAGAATTCTTCTCTTTCCTTTATGGGGGCAGGAAGAGGTTGTGGATGATGTGTTTACAGATGGGAAGACAGAGAGAGAAGGGCTCAGGCAAGTTGGTCCTGTCTCCTGTCCCATCAGAGGTGATGGAAAAAAAGGAAGAAATTTCTTTTTGGGATCATCTGAGTTGGGCCAATAAGCAGTGCTACCTCTTCTGAACAGCAGCCCCAGGAGAGAGCCTCCTGATTCCTCTGTTTGTTGTGGGTCATTCAGTTATATGAATCATTTACTAGAGTCATCCTGTCTCTCCCACCCTACCCCTATCCCTAGGAAGAGAGAAATACTAAATGAGGGGCCCAGGAGGGATCCATGATCTCTCTCTTCCCCTTTGTGGCCTCTGGATGGTTTGGTACCTGTAAGAACTATGGTATGTCCAGCAACAGGTGAAGGGAGGTAGTTTTTATCCAGGGCCTAATATGTGGCAGTCCCTCTGCTAGGTGCTTTTACATGTGCTGTCATATTTAACTTAATCCTTACTGTGAACCCTGTGAGGTAAGTGGTAAATTGTCTTCATTTTATAGGTTTCAGAGAGGTTGAGTGACTTATTTGTCCATGGCTAAACAGTTAGGAAGGTAGGCAGGATCTGAACCAGTTTACTGAGTCAGGGCACCCGCTGCCTCCCTGGGTCTCCTCTGCCGTGAGAGAAGAGAGGAATGAAGGCACAATAGGCCTGTCCCCTTGGAGCAAGGAAAGGAAGAAGGTGATGGGAAGAAATGTGAAGTGAGACTGAATCATGTGGAAGGAGGGTAGAGAGACTGATCTTTGGCACGGTGGTCTACCTGCCCCTCAGAGTTTGTGAAATTCCACTCTCAGATCATTCAGAGCTGAGGCCCATGGAAAGAAGCGATGACCCTGGCATTAGCAGCACAGTGAAAACTGTGGCATCAGGGTTCCAGCTAGATTCCAACCTAAGCATCCCAAGTTTGAGTCCGCGTCATTTGTACCCTTCTCCCATGTGTACGTGTGCTCCTGCCTTCGAATGCCTTGGCAAGGGCAGAGGAGCTCCAGGTGCTTTTGCGGCATTTCATAGGCCCACAGAGAAGTGTTTAGGATGAGGCTCCTGAGTGGGGGCAGAAGCTCTCCCAGCGTCTCTTCCAGCCCTGACTCCTCAAAGTGATTCCTTACTGTAGACACATCTACACCCAAAATGATGGTGATGGAGAGCTGGGGGCCCTGGAAAACAAAAGCAGAGTGTAAAATTCACGTAAATGCCAACTGAAAAGCTCAGAAAAGTAGTGCGTTGGGGTGGGGAGAAGGAGCTAGGATGCGGGGATGGGAAGGACACAGGAGTGTGGCCCCAAGAGGTGTTGGTGGGAAGAGCCACTGGTAGCTTTCTATTGTTCCAGCAGAGTGGAAGTGATTGTCATCCCGAGGAGTGGAGTAAAGATAAATACTGGTTCAGGCATTTTACTTCCAAATGTTTGAGTTTCTCATTTATATACATGTATGTGTGGGAGTTCATTCCTTTGACCAGAAATATTAGTGCCTACCGTGTGCTAGGCACTGGGAATGAATAGATGTGGATAAGAAATGGTGGCCACTGTGAAAGAACTGGCTCGTTTTTCTTTCCTGAATCCCTGGGTGTAGGTATTATATTTATTCCATTTTCTGTGAACCATAACCTCATTTTTAAGTGCTTATTACACTCAGCTAAAATCCATTTTGTTTTTTAATAACATCTGACTCCACCATGAGACCACAGGCTCTCCAAGAGCAAGGTTTCTATCTTCCTCCTCTTGTGTTGGTACAGCTCCTGTCCCCGTCGTGGCTTTAGGCCTCTAGACCTTAATCTATGAGAAGTGAGTGTTGCTAATCTCCTAAATCCAGTCCTAATTAATTCACCTGTGGTTCTTTCTAGCCATATATGTAGATTCAAGATACAAAGTGACCCTCTTCAACCACATTAATCCAAGGGCCTCATTAACACTTGGACACATGAAGAGCAACTTCTCAGTCCTTCAGTAGAAGAGGGCAGAGCTGCTCAGGCTTCACCAAGGAAACAGTTGTCTTATTGTTGTCCTCATTCTTTAACATTTGGTGAATGCCTCTTCTTGGTGACGTTGAAGTCTTCTTGCTAGCAGTTTGCAGGCTTTCTCAGAGCCCCATAGAGGCAATGGAAAAGAGAATCCACTGGTGGTTTGTACAGGATCATCTGCCACGCGAGTGCCAGGGCAGGACTAGAACCTGGATCTCTCTCCTGACTTCTCATCACCCCCTCAGCCTCCTCTTTCCTGGAGGGTTTCTAGGATGGCTCCAGGATTGAAGGCAGGGGATGAAAGGTATTAGTAAGACGTTAGTAGCTATTAAGGCTTAGTGCCAGGTCAGTAAAGGCAAAGTTGAGGAAGAGGCCCCTCTCTTAAAGTGGCCTGTATTATGACGGGCAGAAAATAGAATTAAAACATATATAGAATTTTCTTGTATCCATTGATTTTTTTTTTTTTAGTCAATCATAAATTAATGAGTAATAAGCAAAACTCTAAGCTCAAACTACATTTTAACCTTAGGAGACTAATCATATTAGAAATAGAAGATTTGCTGGATTTCTCTCGAATCTGGTATGTATTGCATAGATAAGAAAGTCTTAAAAGTATGCACATATATTTGCTCATTTGACCATTCCTCCATCCATTTATTCGTCCATCCTCTGTTATAGTAGATGCTTTGTGCCAAGTACTGTGTTAAGTAAAACGTGTTTGCTCCCAAGGAACTTGCTATCATCTGGCTCAAACATTTTATCTATGAAACCTTCTTTAATACCCTACTAATCATCGCATAGAATTAATTCTTCCTTTGTGAGTCCATATCTTTTGTTCATTCAGTTAGCTGTCATTCAAATGTGTCCACCACGTACCCAGGTACTGTATTAGGAAGGCACTGGTGGTATAGGGTTAAATAACAGACAGCCCTTACCTCAAAGAACTGTCTAGCAAGGAGACACACTAGTAAACCAGTGATTGCAGTAGGTTATTATGATGGTATGGCAATAGAGGTGTGAGTAGTGGTGCAAAGAAGAGAGTAGATGAACAGAGTAGTGTGTGCTGGAGGTGAGAGGGTAAGAAAGACCATGGCTGTGGTATTGAGAACATAGTGACTGGCAAGAGACTAACACTAGGAGACTCTTTCTCCTGCTGGTGCCTCTTTAGTAGGATATCTTGTATTTTCTTATGGTTAGTTAACTGTGACTGTCCTCCCTATAGACTGTGAGCTCTTTGAGATCAGGGGTCGTGTTTTATTCATGTTTGTATTCTCCTTGTGCTTAGCACAACACTCTGCATATATTAATGACCTGTAAATGCTGAAAAGGAGCAAAGGAAATGCAGAAAGAATGACGAAACCAGATTGAATGATAAGGGCAGTGGAATACAGATATCCTCAAGAATCAACTATAAAGCTAGAAACAGGCAGCCTTCTATGAGAAAGCAGCACACATCTTGGCAAGGCCATACAATCACTATTCTAGAAAATATTTCAGTGATTTTCATTCTCAAAGCTGTTCTCAGGATGTGCCAGTCATGAGAACATGCTGGTTTCTAATGATTGACAGGATTCACTCCAACCACAAGTGTTTTTAGAGGCTCAGTGTGGCATTCAGACAATAGTCTGTTATTCTAAGGCACATCTTGGCAGAGGGGAACCGCGTCCCTAGGTTTGAGGCAGAGCAGAGAAATAGCTTTTGTCCCAGCAGAAGCCCTAACATCTGTATGGTGGCCTTCAGCATGCACAGACTTTCATGTGCATCATCGAAGAGCAGCTGCAGCTTCAAATCAAAGGAGAGCCTGTGTGCCGCTGTTGGTGGCAGGGACTGCCGGTCACTCATCAGTTTCAGCTAAACTGGTATGAGCAGAGGGTGACACCAACTGCCTCATCCTCTTTGGATGCAGGTGTATATTTAAATCAGTTTCCGGGGCAAAGGCAGCATGATGGCCTGGAATGAGTCCTCAGCTGGCAATAAGAAAGGCCTGGAGTCTGGGTCCCAGCCTCGTGAGCGGCCAGTGAGGAGATGGGGTTGCCTGTTAATGAAGCAGGGGGCGTAAACTTGCCTCCCTGACTGGGATGTTAAAGGGGTTAAATGAGACCATCAATAAATATTTGAATATTTACTTTTTGCCAGACACTCTACTTGGTGCCCAGGATACACCTGTGAGTAAAATGAACCCCAACTTCCTCCCTCATGAAACTTTCAGTTTAGTGAGGAAGACAGCTATTAAACAAATTAGTACAAATAAATAAATAATTCAAAGACGTCAGGCGCTGTGAGGGACAATTACAGGGTGGGTTGCAGGAGAGAATATGTGGGGGGTAGAGGATGGGGAACCTGCCCGAGTCTGAAGGTTCCAGAAGACCTTCCCTGAGGAAACGATGTTCCTTTAGTGGGGGTGAATGCACCTTGTGACATGTCAAATTTATGCAGTTAGAAGGGAAGATTATTACTATTGTTGATGTTATTTCTCAGTCCTTCTGATTCGTTCCACACAGCGATCTCTCTGGAGAACAGTTCTCTTCCTGTTGGCTTCTGCTCTGTGCGGGGAAATTCAGGGAGAAGCAAGAAGTGTTCTGCCTTCGTTGTTATTAGAACCATCAGTTATTAGGTCTTAGAACTGGTAGATGACTTCAGAAAATGTGAACTTTCAGCAGGTTTCATAGTATTAATCATTTTTTGTAAAGAAACCACTGAAGCCCAAAGAGATTAAGTGACTTGCCCAAGGTCACAGGGTTTGAAAGTAGTGGAAGAAAATTATTTTCTCTGTCTGCCGTGGCATTGTTCCTATTTTCATTAACAAAGATAGTGCCTTAATATAGTCGTTTGAATTTGAACTGGAAAAGGTAGTGAAGATGGATTTTCTCCCTCTCCAGTTGCTGACTGAAATGCCAATAATCACAAAATGACAGCTTGCGATGTATCCCGACTTTTATAATACATTGTGGTTAAGAGCATGGACTCTGGGATATACTGGCTGTGAGATGCTGAGCAAGTTAATTAATCTCTCTGTGCCTCAGTTTCCTCAAGTGATTAATGGATATAGTAATAGTACCTACCTCATAGAGTTATGAAGATTAAGTGAGTTATTACATGTAAAGTGCTTAGAATAGAACTTGGCACATGATAAATATTTGGTATGTTTTTGTGTGTGTGTGTTTTTTTTAAGAATAAAGGGGAAACTCTTAAATAATCTAACAAAGAAAAAAACAAAAAGCAAAGTAAGCCCCTCTCCTAAACGAGACACAATCAACAAATTAAAAAAACTTGAAGTGCTTTATTTTTAGGGCAGAAAAATAACCATGAAATTATTTGCTCCCATTTCTAAACTAAAGTAAGACAATGCTTGCTTTCTTTCCTGCTTCTGCAACCTGATGCTTCTCTTACGCCTTTACAGCTTCAGATCTGGGACACAGCAGGTCAAGAGAGATTTCGGTCCATTACCCAGAGTTACTACCGAAGCGCCAATGCCTTGATCCTCACCTATGACATAACCTGTGAGGAATCCTTCCGTTGCCTTCCCGAGTGGCTGCGGGAGATAGAACAATATGCTAGCAACAAGGTCATCACTGTGCTAGTGGGTAAGTAAGCACTAACGAGGAGGGAAATTGATTTATGGGCATCAGAGAATTTATAATCACACAAAGCCTTGTGCCTTGGTGCCTTCCAAGAATATAGTGTACAGCTATATAATTCATGTAGTCAATATTCAGTTCTTCTGCAACTGAAGAGAAAATGAAATAGGTCCTATCCCATGGTAATGGTTTAGAAAAGTAAAGGAGAAAATATCACTGATTGATTTTTTATCAGTGCAGGCTCTAGGGAAGAAGATGGACTGCCATGAAAGTTATGTGGGCTGCTAAACATTTTTAAAAATCTAATTATGAGATCACGGACACTGCTGGTCTAGAAGTAAATATATGTCTTAGGTTGATACAGAATTCATTATTGAAGCAATTGCTTATTGCCTAAAAAATGTACTTTGGTTTATTATTTCTCTTCTTACATTTATGCTGATTTGAGAAATTCTGATTTTCATAAAGAATGCACTAAAGGCAATTCTGCAGTTTGTTTCATCTTGGAGGGTAGAACCTCTGTTTAGTTAGAGGGAAAAGCAGAAAACAACTCATGATTTTCTATGGTGACACATACACCCATTAAAAATGGAATTGCAATGAAATGGACCAGATCCTTAAAAACACCTCTAGTGGTGATGGAAAAATGTTAATAATATATTGTTGTTAAGATGTTTTCTTCCAGGGGCCGGCCCCGTGGCTGAGTGGTTAAGTTCGTGCACTCCGCTTCAGTGGCCCAGGGTTTCACCGGTTCAGGTCCTGGGTGCAGACATGGCACTGCTCATCAACCCACGCTGAGGTGGCGTCCCACATAGCACAACCAGAGGCACTCACAACTGGAATATACAGCTATGTACTGGGGGGCTTTAGGGAGAAGAAGGGAAAAAAAAAGAAGATTGGTAACAGATGTTAGCCCAGGTGCCAATCTTTAAAAAAAAAAAAGTTCTCTCCCCAGGAAAGAACAATTGATGTATATTCTAGCAAGACCTGAATTTTAGAAATTAGGGTAGAAAAACTCAGAAACCTTGTGAAGTTACAAATTATGGTTAACAGTAAGCTAAGTAAACTTTCTTTTTTGTGTGTGAGGAAGATTGGCCCTGAGCTAACATCCATTGCCATTCTTTCTTCTTTTTGCTTGAGGAAGACTGTCCCTAGGCTAACATCTGTGGCAGTCTTCCTCTATTGTTTTATATATGGGATCCTGCCAAGCATGGCTTGATGAGCCGTGTGTAGGTCTGTGCCTGGGATCTAAACCTGTGGACCTCCAAAGTGAAGCATGTGAACTTAACCACTATGCCAGCAGGCCGGCCCCTAAGTAAACATTTTATGGTAAGCATTATAGCTAGGATATGTGTGCCAGGAATCATACAAGGAACTTTATATGTCATGATCCCTAATTTACAGTTGAGGAAACCAAAATTCAGAGAGGTGCAGTTCTTTGCTGAAGGTTGCACAGCATCTAACATTGACTCCAAATCCTGTGTTTGTTCAACTGTAATGTGCTGCTTTGTAGCAAATTGCTGGACTTTTCCTTCTGGCCACTGGATTAGGTATTTGCCTCTCTCTGAGCTAGTGCTCCATGCCCAGTCCTGGAAACCCTCTTGCACACTGGAGAACCTTTGCCATGAAGCATTGGAAGCCCCCACTCTGGACTTGGGCTTTCTTTCTGTTTCACAGAAAGCCCTTGAGAACTTGAGTTAAAGCATGACTCCCTGGGATTCTATCTAAGAAAGCTGAATGAAGATTTGAGGGGAGATAATTAGTCATTTCAGTGTGAAAGAGGCACTTGGCTTGTTTTTTTTTAAACTTTTTATTATGTAAAATTTCAAACATAAGCAAAAGTAGAGAAAACAGTATAATGAGCCCCTATGTACACATCTCTCAGCTTCAACAATTATCAACTCATGGCCAATCTTATTTTATCTGTTCCCCATCTATTGTCTGCCCTCCCCTTCAGATTATTTTAAAGCAAATCCTAGATGTCGTATTAATTCATCTTTCAATATTTCAGTGTATATCTCTAAAAGATAATATTTTCTTTTAAAAAAAGAACCTAACCACAATGCCATTTTCACACCTAAAAAATATTAATTCTTTAATAGCATCAAAAATTTAGACAGTGTTCAAACTGTCCTTGATTGACTCATACATTTTTAAAAATTTTGTTCAAATCAAGATCCAAATAAGATCCTTATGTTGTAATTGATTTTTATGTCCTTTAATTCTCCTTTTATCTGTAGGTTATCTCTCCATTTTTTCTCCCTTGGAATTTATTTGTTTAAAGCATTTGTTTGTCCTATAGAGTTTTCCAGTCTGAATTTTGTTATTTCACTCCTGTGGTGTCATTTGACATATTTCTCTATCACTTGTTTTTCTTGCAGATTTGTAGGTAAATCTATAGGCTGGTTAGATTCAGTTTTTGTTTGTTTTTCTTTTTTTTTTTTTTTCTCCCCAAAGCCCCCCCGGTACATAGTTGTATATTCTTCATTGTGGCTCCTTCTAGTTGTGGTATGTGGGATGCTGCCTCAGTGTGGTTTGATGAGCAGTGCCATGACCACACCCAGGATTCGAACCAACGAAACAGTGGGCCGCCTGCAGCGGAGCGCGCGAACTTAACCACTCGGCCATGGGGCCAGCCCCTGTTTGTTTCTCTTTTTAGCAAAAATACCTTATAATTGGCATTCTGAAAGATAGTTCTCATAGGACAGTCAATAAAAATTGCCTGATTTTTTCTTTTTTATTTACTACTTTTCAAAGTAATGAGTTTGTTCCCTAATGTCTTCTAAAACTATTAAAGTTTGTTTATATTTTGGATATCATTATAAATTTCAATATGTTTGATGTATTCCAGTCCCTTGCAATTATTATTATGATGCTTCAATTATTCCAGCTTTCACAGTGGAGCTTCTTCAAATGGGCTCCTGAGTCCTTTTGACATGACATGGAATCTTTGATAATGTTCTTGCTTTCTGGTGGAAGTGTTCCAGGCACACTTGTGCATTTCCTATCTCAAACCTGGAATTAGCCGTTTCTTCAAGAAGCACTGTTTCTCTTTAATGGAAAGCTGTATTTAGAGACTATAACCTAGGTGATAGGAATCCTCCTTACTAGTGGATGGGTCATTGCTTTTAGGCCTTTCAGTGGACAGAACTAGTGTGTGTGTGCGTGCAGTGAATTCTGTAGTGTCCGCAAGGGATTGTCTTACTAGGCTCTACTAAACATTTGACTCACAAGAGTACCAGAGGCCACTCTTGGCATCATGTTCACGTAGAAGGATACAGGACAGGAAACGTGGCTCAAGAGCAGGTCAGCATCAGCCATTCCTCTTCAGTGGAAGTAGTCCTTGTAGCAATCCACATAGCTGTCCAGGACCTCCCGGACAGTTCAAGTGGGACGGAAAAAGGCTCACTTCAGGCAAGTGCAGGATCTGTCCTGGCCTAGAAGCCTCAATGCTCCATAGGAGCCAATTTCCCTTGTAACAACTCCATAGTCCTAACTTTCAGGATCTCTTCAGGTGAAGAATTGCCACACTCAGGGAAGCCCAAAGTTATGGCTTTCCACTAGATATTTATAATTCATACATAAAATTCTCAGGCCAGATGGAATTTATCAATCAGGGGTCACTTTTACCATAAGCAAGGTTGCCAAGTAACACAGTTGACATATTGCCTTTGTCAGGTTTCTGGGAGAAGAGACGTAGAAAATCTTTTAAAGATAAAATACACCATGAATTATTCACACTGATATTTCCATTTATAATTCAGGACTGAAGAAATTATGCTTCACCTCATTAATCTTATATCTGTATTTCCTTTTTCCCATGCCAAAAATCACAGTCCCAGTGACACCCGCATAATTGCTCATTTGCTTTATCCCCTTATCCACATATAGCAGCCTTGGAATAACAGTACCAACACTGCCACTGACAAGATGATCACTGCAGTGGGTCAAGATTTTTTCCTTCAGTTCTTTTTGTCCTTAGGGTGTATACCACTGGCGATGCCTGGTTAAATGGCTGTATCTTAAACTCACTTAAAATAGTTCCTCTCTGTGTGGTTATGCTACTTCATGATAAACAGCCTCATTTGTTTAATTTTGCTTTCAATTTTAGGAATTGCTTTTCAAATTTAATTTCGTATTAATTGTATAATTCTAATTAATTGTATAATTATGTAAAACATTTATAAGATTCTGAAGTCACATCTATAAAACGAAGTATATTTAGAGAGGTCTAGTTTCTATTCCTGCCCATCCCCCAACCTTGTTCCTTTCATGGGTAAGCATTATCTTTAAAATTAAGATTTTGGTTTATTTTCCCATTGAAAAAATAAGCAAATAAAATGTGCGTGTGTATTTTCTTCATCCCTTTTTCGTAGATGAACAGTAGTGTATTATATACACTTTTTTCTACTTTGCTTTATTCCACTTTAATATATCCTAGTGTCTCATTCCATGGCAGCATAGAGAGATATTCCTCATTGCTTTTTACAGTGGCAAATAACTCCAAATAACTTTAGATGCACCATAGTTTATTCAGCCAACACCCCCACTGATGGACATTTGGGTTGTTTCCAGTTCTTTGCCATTACAAATGGCACTAATATTTTAAAAATAAACATTCCAGTGATCACAGTCACATTTGCTTTGCTTTACTCGCCCATCTGTCTGGTTTGACTTCAGATATGGAATTGAATTTTGATTCTTTTGAGCCTGCCAAAAGTCAAATGATGATTCCTTCTTTGATTTACTCCTGTTTTAGGCAACAAGATTGATCTGGCCGAAAGGAGAGAGGTCTCCCAGCAGAGAGCTGAAGAATTCTCAGAAGCTCAGGACATGTATTATCTGGAGACCTCAGCCAAGGAATCCGATAACGTGGAGAAACTCTTCCTTGACTTGGCGTGCCGCCTCATCAGTGAAGCCAGGCAGAACACACTTGTGAACAATGTATCCTCACCCTTACCAGGAGAAGGGAAAAGCATTAGCTATTTGACTTGTTGTAATTTCAACTAAAGGCTGAGGCAAAGAGAAACAAAAGGAATCAGCAGCTGCCCTGATGGGCCACGAATTGCTAGGGAGATGTGGCTATGACTGTGGTTCCCGCTCTCGGACCTTCTGACTCCTGTGGGCTCCTGAGCTTACAAAGCATGGCAGGCCAAGGGCCTTGTCCACAGGCCAGCATTAGCAGAACATATAATGGTTTCACCCTTTTGCAGTCTGGAGTCGGAGCAAGGAGAAAATTTGCACTAGGCGCTCCATGATCTGCAGAGCATGTTGCTTTTGTTTTTTTAAAAAAGCAAGTAAAAGCGCATTCCTGAGCACAGCCCAGGGGGAAATGTACTGTAGGGTTCCCTCCTGCACGTCAGTGGGTGCATGAAGGGGCTGTTCTTTAGGGCTTCTGGGGGCCCTGGTTTTCTTGTCTACCAGACAAACCAAAACTGGGAAGGCCAAGTCCTGTCTCTGTGGTGCATATTGACGACCCCATGGAGATTTTCAAAAGTGTTATTTCTCTTGTCCACAGGCACTTTCAAGAACTTTGGGATGTAAAAATGAAATGAAACCTTTACCCATCACCAACAGTAACAGTCATTGTTTTAATAATATATCCAAGCTCCATGACTCCTTTTGGTGCTAATGATTCCACTCTATCACAGACCAAACGTTTTAGTACATTGATGTCCTTAAATGTATTACATAGAAATAAAAAAAAAATAAGGGACGTCTATGAATCAGCACTCTTTCTCAAAGTCTCATTACTACCTTTTCTAGGGTGGGTGTGTTGGAAAAAAGAATACTTTCCTTTTATGTTCCCCTCTAAATCTCTACCACCTTCTTCTATTTTCTCATCTTTCCTGCCCTGTAAGTAAACAAAAAAGTTTGAAAAATGAAAAAAACCCAATGGTCTGATGAGATTCCAATATAAAAGATTAGCTCTAAGACATTATGAGTCGTGTGAGGAAACAGACCAGATCTGACCAAAATACTGTGGATTAACGGACTGCAGTGCAGAGATCAAGCAGAGAACAGTCCTTGGTAGCAGGTCGCACCTTTTACTTCCTGGTACTATCCATCTTGGACAGACCAAGGCTTAGGCTTTTGTAGATGTTTTTAGTATGATAAGTGAGAATAGCATCAGATGAAGTCTCACGAACCATTTTTGTATCTTCAATGATAACCTTAGAAAAATTCTGCTTGTGGAAGCAGGTTGAGTAGTCGTTTGTCACCTCCTTCTTGTAGTAACGTTACTCTCAGACTCATGACCATACATTCTTTCCTGTTTCTTTTTCTTTTTCTCTCTCTCTTTCCTGGTCTCTTCCTGCTTTCCTCCTAAACTCTCTCCCTTCCTTATATGCATGTGTTGCTGCAAATCTCCAATTCAGATGGAGATGTATATGCCTTTACATAGCCAATTTTAAAACAGGACTCAAAATGGAAGACATGCTGCTGAATATGTGTTACTGTTTCTTCAGTGCCATACTTTGATACCTTCTAATTTGTTTACTGATATAAATGCAAATTGGGAAAATAATTAAACCTGTATGCTGTTCATGCTGTCAGATGTTTCTGTAGCTTGCTGCTTAGCATAACGGATGGATGAGAATTGAATTAGGAGATGATATGTAATTTCCCTGTTGCTGTAGATGGTGGCAGTCTCCACCCTGCTGTGTTGATCTTTGAAAGCTATTTAATTTTAAAGAAGTGAGTCATATAGAGACATGATCTTGATACAGCATTTCTAGCATTTCTCTAGCACATTTCAGAGTGACCAATCTCTTGCACCTGGGAATTATATGTATTGTTCAATGGACTGATACTTTAGGTTGGCCTCACTGTGTCTGTCCTGATCCTGTGGGTAAGGGAAAGATTTCCCAGAAGTTTGAATTGTTTTTATTTTAGAATCTATCTCTACAGGAGAGAAACATCGTTTTCATAAACACCAACCAAAATAATTTATAATCGTTGCCTTTCCCTCCCCTTCTTCCTCACTGAGCCAGCAACTAAAGGTATTCAGAAAACAAGTTGATCAAGGTGGGCAGAAGAACTTCTCTTTTTAAACTGTGAGGAAATGTCCTTAAGTTTGGATTTTTGCCCTAAATGAAAGATGATAAATCTAATGTTCCCAGCACATCATGGCCCAGCTTTGTCTCACGGCAGCAAGTGTGTTGAAAATAAAGCTGCTTTGTGAACATAGAGGATGGGACTTTGTTAGACTGGACAAATTTTGTCATAAAATAACAGCTTCTAGGACCACTCTTGCATTCTGAAATTCTTATTCCCAGGGCTCAGCCTTCTCTGTCTACTTTGGCCACTCTCAGAAGGGGATTAGAAGGCTCTGCCCCTGGCCCCTTTCTTCCCTGTTACTCCTCCCAGCCTTCCTGTAACTTATAGTCACCCCTCCATGGCCCATCAGTGGGGACACAGGAGAATGTAGGGCTTGCTTTCATTTTTTCCCCTTAGTTGTGCAAATTCCAGGTTAGGCCTTGTGGACACTTGTTCACTGTTGTATCTCAAGTTTGAGAACAATCCTTGACAATATCGTAGGTGCTTGATAAATGTTAGTTGAATAAACAACTTAGTGCCAAGAGGAGCTTTTCTGGTTAAAGAGAAATTTCTCAAACAGAACTTGAGAAAGGATACTAATGAAATGTGGTCATCTTAACCCAGGCCAGGACCGAAACTTGTTGGGCTTTCTACTAGTTCTTATTGTCATGGCAATATTTGCTAACGTGAGCCTTCTTAAATAAAAATGAATTCTCTTTTAGTGGTGGATGAAAAAGAGAGTTGCTTTCTCATAATTCAGTTTGACTTGATCTGACTCAAAGACTACCAGAATCCATGTCTGCTTCCATTTTTGGTATTATCTTTTTCTTCTTTTAATAAAGTTACTAAATATATGGTAATTTTTTTTTCAATTTCCAATGAAAATACATCGTATTCATGGCAAGGAGTCGGGTTTGGGAGAATCTGTGAAATCATATAGCTTACTGATATTAATGATATTTTATTATGGCTTTGTGTAGACTGTAGCCTCAAAGGATTTTGTGCTTTCTCCTTTACCTATGCAAGGCTTTTTATTGCTTTCCTATACTTTTATTAGATCTATTGAATTCTATTAACATTTAATTTTGATTATACTGGGCCATTTGTCCATTCTGTGGATTACTTAGCTTAGGCCATTGGCTTTTCTTTTTCCCTTTTTGTCATTTCGTGTTCGCATATCTTCCTGAGTAAAGTTGCAAGAAAATAACTAAAAATGAAAGTCGAAAGGATTGATTTGACAATATGTCAATTTCTGATTTAGAGTTTGGTATGGTGAAAAATACTGGCCAAAATAAGGTATTTGGATTAGGATTATTTATTTTAAGCAGTTTAGACTTGTTGGAGGGAGGAGGCAGAAGTGCATAGACGACTGGAGTCCTCTTCTTTCTTCTTCTGTCCATGAATGGATGCCTTTGGAGGACACCAGTGACTTCCAGTGTTAGAGCAATGATTTGCCTCATTTAACCTTTAAGCTATCCCATAATTCTTCCAGATCCAGCATCAAGTTTCAGTTAATGAATCATTCTGAATAAATACCAGTTGCAAGTGATTTTGAATTGGTCTTCTGACTAAAGTGAAAACTTGTTTTTTTATAAACCAAGCCACATGAATCAGGTATCACCTTATTATAATCAGAAAAAAACTTCATTTTTTTTCCCACAACCAAACCAATGGCTTTAAAGATAGACATTTTCTATTTATTAATCCTGCAAAACTGTGTATCTCAGGTCATAAAGTACTTTAGGGATCACTGTCCTATTATTCTCTGAAAGAGCTCTTCTAGAGTTTGCCATTTCTTTTTTCTAGAATTTTTTTTTTTGACTGCAACTGGTTACTTACTTTCCATGACCAAGGTCCTGACAGGTGTGTTTTAATGCAACTATAATAATACTTTTGAGAGTTACCTTGAAAATTAAAAGCAGTGAAAAAACGTGTATCTCATGCTTCAGACAAAATGTACTCCACATAAGCAGTATGGTTGAACACTAATTTTGGAATAAGAGAGGGATGTGTTTTCTTCTCTTTCTTCTTTTTGGATTTCATTTCTGGGACATGAGCCTACTCGTGTTTGGAAGGAAAGCTGCCTTCCTTACAGTCTTCACACTGGGTGTGAAGCATACTGAACTCAGAAATCATCATCCCTTCAAATAGCTAATTAATGTCGTAGTGTTAGAACGAGGGTGATGACGCTTCATCTCTGTTCCTCAGTCCATGATGTTGGCATGATAGTCATTTTTGAGAGCCATACTTTGAAACTAAAAACAAATTGAGGCATAACAAAGATGGTGAAGGAACTTAATTTAAGATGTTTGAAGAATATTTGAAGGATTATGGGACATTTAGCCTGGGGAAGAGAGAGGAATATAATTAGTGCATTAGAGTAAGACTCTGGTTCAAAGGGATGGAATGAGGCCCACTGAACAGAGGCCATAAGGCCACAGATTTGGGCTCCATGTCAGGGAGAACTTTCTCAAGAAGTTGATTCACCATGGAAGGGGCTGCCTTGGGTAATAGTCTCTGTCAAGCAGAGGCTAGATAAGAACTCAGCAAAGATGATGTGCAGAGGATCCCAGCACTAAGTGGGGGTTGGACCAGATGACCTGTTAACTTAAAATTCTGTGATGCAGTACTTTGCCTTTCATAATGTGTTCCATTAAATATCTATTGACTCACAGCTAATGACTTTTCTTTTTAAAGGTTTTGCCCTTCTGCCAAAAGTGCATGTCACCCTCCAGTGAGGAGGTTGGTTGTATTTCGTTAGGCCAAGAGACAGGCTTACCATTATGCCCTTGGCTGGGATGGCTTTGTCAGTTCATTCATTGGTGACCTGTTGAAAACACAAACTGGTTCTTGAGTTAAAAATAGAAAGTAGAAGGTACATGAAATCATGGAAATTATGTATTTATCACTTAACCAAACATAGGTCATGCTGAGTTTAGTGAATTATTGGTGTCTCTTCAGGGCTTCAATAGGCCTTTTTAGCAGAGCAGAATCTTCAGTGACAGATCCCATTAATATACTGACTAAAGATTTGCACTTCCCATCAGAGATGGGCTAGCAGGTCACTGGCATACAGCAGTCCCCAAGATCTATTTTGGAAAAATCTAAAATGACATTTGTCTGATTCCCTTGAAAAAACGTGATCTGAGAATGATTTCAAAAGAACTGAGGCCAACTCACTTCATGTAGAAAGTGACAAGACACAAGTCTGTGATTTGAAAATCCGAGATAACTATAAGCAGCATTTGCTAACAAAGCCTGTGACCCAAATGATTCCACCTGCAAAATAACTTGTATCCTTGCCAGCTGATGGCTCTTCATTGGTCTTGCATCAATATGGTAAGAAATATACTTGAGATTGGGTAAGACTTTGAATCCTTTGGATAAGAGGTCAGAGCACAAAAGCTAGCCACTTCTTCTTTAATTGACTTCCTGAGATGCATGAGTCAAAATTTTACTTTGCCACTGAGTAAAAGCAGAATTTTTGGAGATGTGTTCTAGTTCCTGATAGAATCCTTGGTGGGTGACTTTGACACTTTGATGTAGGGAGGTGTATGGCAGGGCCAACACTAGGCTGAGTATGAAGAGTTCTAGTACTGCCACGAATTAGCTGTGACTTGATGCAAAGCACAATCTCTATAGCATCAGTTTCCTCATCTATGAGATAAACTTATATTACCTGTTAGGATTATTATGAAAATTAGATGAGATAAATTGAAAGTACAGTGCTTGGTAAACAGCACTCAAATATTACTTCTTTTCTCCTTGATTAAGAGCAGACTTTGGATGGTCTAAGTATAGATCCTTAGGACAAAACAAAGAACCCTTCTTGACTTTGAAGAAAAGAGCTCCATTTCTGAAAAGGGCCTTAAAATGAAGTCACTTATTTTATGTATCCTTCTGCCGTTGGGCATTACTGTTACCCAATAGGCTATTCACTTTCCATACTTCAGGAAAGCTATTCTCTCTCACTCTCTCTCCCAGTAGGCAATTCCAGGGTTGTAAACTCCTCATTATCAGGAAACTTAACCTTCTTACTGAAATACCTCACAGTGCAATTTAAACCTCTTTCTTCTTCATCCCATTCTCCATGGGAAGAAAAATTGGGGTTGATCCTATCTCCTTTTAAAGGGGCCATGTTTGCCATTTATTATTGCCCTTTTGCCTCATTTTTTTTTAACGACAGAAAAAGCTCATCAAAATTAACAATTATTCCCTTGGAGAATGTCAGGCTGAGTATTTATAAACTCTTAGCTTCTTATTGGTATCAGATTAAATCATAATCGTACTGTTGATTAACTCTTCAATTATACATGTATTTTTCTTCTTTAGTTGTAACATAATTGATAGCAAAGTCTGCTTCTGAAGAATTATTCTGGTTGTGTGGCTCTTGTTTCCTCCTCTTGGTAAAAATGGAGTCACAAATCCCTGTTTTGTCATCTGATTTTAGAATTTAATTTCATATATGACATTATTTGATGGACATAATTACCAACGCCCAAATTTAGCAGGATTTCTTTCCCTTTCTACTTGTGCACTGAGTTCTGAAATAAAAATCAGAGTACCAAATGCCTAATAAAGCAAAAATTCATGTACAGAATAACAAAAGATAAGATGCTGGGCTGTTTAGGATTTGTCACTAGTTGGTTGATTGGTGCACAGCTTTTTTTTAAGGTTACTCAGTTATGCCTAGATTAAATAACAATAGCAAAACTTGATAAGCCCTCTGAAAAACAGCTGCTAAACATATTGCTTTCTGGAATGTAATCTTTAGGAATAAATATTCTTGTCCTATACAATTGCAGAATGCTAGTGGAGCTTTCTTCTAAGCTATTTGATATTGATTGCCAATTGATTTATTTAAAAAAGTATTTTGTTAATCCTCTTATCCCTTTAAGGCGTGTTGGGGCTTTCATGTCTCTGTTGTAGAAAATTTGAAATGACTGGAATGCTGGCTTCTAATTTCTGCTCATTGAAGTGTCCTCTAGACATACCAGATGTTTGGAGCTCCTTTGACGGTATGTAAGGGAGCTACAGAGTGTATTTGAGCTAGTGTGTGAGTAAAGGTGCTGTTTTCAGCAAAATAACTCTGTTCAAAATTTTAGATAAGAAGGGGTTAAGAAGAGATTTTTGATAATCTAAAGGGAAAAAGTGTGCCCCATATATATTGTTGCACATACTTTAATGCATGACTTTTAGTATAGGGATGAAATAAAATGCAAAATACACAATTCTGGAGGTCTTCTCAGCAGCTAGTTAAAATATTTAGAGAAGCTGTTTTATGAAGACTTAGAGAATCCCTGATTTCCCTCCTTTTCCTATCTCTTTCCTTTAAAACGTGGATCTTTAACATACACGTAGTTTTAACAAACATATTAATCATATCTTATGAACTCAATTCTTAATATTTGGCTGTTGACTTTACGCATAGGCTCTCAGTAATATCTGAATACACCAGTATATAAAATCTAACCAGCAGCTTCAATACAAGCATAATACTTATTTTAAATGTTAATATACAGATATTAACAATACACTGTTGTGTCTTATGTGTTCATGTATTTTTTTTTCGCTTAATAAAAAGCCTGTTAGAAATATAAGCCCATGATGACCTGAGTGTAATTAGCTGAAAACATTCTGTAGAAAGACGATTGTATGAAAACTTCAATCAACATTTAAAAGAGGGGAGAAGAAACAGGAATCTGAACAAAATATTTTTAAAAGAAGTTGCATCTCTCTTTTTTAAATTAAGATATAATTCACACACCATACAGTTCACCTTTTTAAAGTGTACAATTCAGTGTCTTTTAGTATTTTCACAAAGTTGTGCAATCATCACCACTAACTCCAGAGCATTTTCATCCCCAAAGAAACTCTGTACTCATTAGTAGTCACCCCCCCTCCAACCCCGGCACCTGGCAACCACTAACTTACCCTCTGTCTCTATAGATTTGCCTATCCTGGACATTTCATATAAATAGAATTATACAATATGTGGTCTTTCCTGTCTGGCTTTTTTCACTTAGCATAATGTTTTCAAGTTTCATGTTGTAGCATGAATCAATATATTCTTTCTATGGCTAAATAATATTCCTTGTATGTATATACCACATTTTATTTGTCCATTCATCAGTTGATGGACATTTGGGTGGTTTCCACTTTTTGGCTATTATAAATAATGCTGCTATGAATATTTGCGTACACATTTTTTGTGTGGGTATATGTTTCCACATTTCTTAAAAGTAATTAGTCTAGCAAATCAAGTCATTTGTCTTTAAGAGAACTTCTTAAAATCCTACTTAGAGGATGCAATTTATAATCTTACATCAACTGGTCAGTTAGGAGACCCCTGAATAATGGCTAACTCCCCAATATGTCCATAAAAAGTTTTCATTGAGCCTATCATTTAGACATGATAATCAATTTCATGAACACTGCTTCAATCTTGTAGAAACTGAGTTGTCGTTACATAGAGAATTTTTAACGTCTTCTGCATCGTTTTAAAGGACAGCTACAAATCGTACTGGAGAGGAGTACTCATTCAGTTTTCTAGGATTCAAGGAAGGGACACTTTTAACATACAATTTTCTTTATATGTTGACTGTCTTTTAAAGTTTGGATTTTCCTTCATGAGAAAAGATTGTCAAATCATCAAACCACCTGACTGTTTATTGTAGCTTAAGTTTTTATTAAGAAATAATTCATACTGAGAGTAAAAGTAAAAAGAATGTATTTTGTGTGAAAAGGATGAATGTATTAATAACTTTTTATTTGTACAGAATTTTTTAAAAAGATGAATGGAAATTGCTTTCCCATGTACTTGTATATAAATAAACATTTCCTGTTGCCCACATTTGGAGGATCATATGCTATCAAAATGTGTAAAATGCAAATAAGTTTTAAGTACACTAATGTCCTTCAGCATGATGTGAAATGTGCTCTGGATTTGGGGATGGGGAGACCTTAGTTTGAATGTCGATTCTCTAACTGGCTGACCTTGGACAAATCATTTAATATCTTGTTTGTACTATGGTTTTCTCCTCTGTAATATAAGGCGCTAGAATAATCTTTAAGGCCTCCTCCAATTATAACACTAAATACGAGTACTCTGTTATATTCAGGATGTAAAAATTATATTCTAATTATTTCCAATGGTGAGAAAAATGCTTTGTCCTATGATATATTGGAAGGAATGTCACAATGAGAACGAGGAGTCATAAATTTTAGTCCCAGCTCTAAGAAGCTGTGTGACTTTGAGTTAATCATTTAATTTCAAGGCTTAATTTTCCCAACTATAGAATATGGACACTAGATTAGATTTCTTTAGGGTCCCTTCCAGCTAAAACATTATATGGTTCTATATTCTTTAGAGATATCACTCAAGATATTATTCATCATAATTAGGAATAAGACTACTTATTCATTACAAATAAGGCATTCATTCATTCACCCATTCACTTATTCACAATTTATTGAGTATATACTATAGAGCAAGTACAGGAATCTGCTTTTAGATATCCCTAGCTCCACTGCAGGAGACATAGATTTGTACCTTTTCTTGAAATTCATCCCCACTCCAATCCTTGCCTCTCACCCTCGGCCTTGGGACGTGCATTTAAGAGATGAATGTCTTGGATTAGGAGTGAGTACAGTGGGTCAGGGAGCACAGTGGAG